TGGTTGTTCATTATTTTTGTTATTTTCTCGCCTGGTCTATTATACTCCTGCTATGAGTAAAAATATGGAACGCTTCACGAATTTGCGTGTCATCCTTGCACAGGGGCCATGCTAATCTTCTCTGTATCGTTCCAATTTTAGTATATTTGCTGCCGAAGCGAGCACTAGACCACTAATATTTTAAAAGATTTTATATCTATAGATATATAGATATATAGATTAATATACCATATCTCTTAATGTTTTCTACATTTTGCAACTGTTCTTTGTATTTCTGTCTTCCACACTTTTTTCCTTTTGAAGTTTTGACATTTCATGTAACACCATTTTTTCGCCTAAGCATAGAATTACAGTTTTTTCTTAGTTTTAGAAATTGTTGCACTAGAGTTTGCATGAATTACTTACATTTAAGTCCACTTTATTTTTTTCAAGATTTATTTATTTATGCCTACTGAACTGTGGTACAGGCCAGAGGTACAACCATTGGTGAAAGGATTCACCTGAGGCAGAGGGGGAGCAAAACAGGCAGACTGACAAAGTCCACTGCAGAGGGGAGCAGCGGGAGGGTCAGGAGAGGTCTACTGTGCCACCTGGGTAACCTCCCTTTCCTGGGGGTTAAACTCAATGGTGAAGTGGCTGCAGCTAGCTTTGTAGTGCTCTTGTTAATGTTGGGCCAACATGTGCCAATGTTGTGTCCACTTTCAAATAAAACTACACCACTTCACTGATTGTACCAGTACCTTAAAATAATCATAAGGCCGCCTATTTGCTCTTTGTATCATAGCTTTTTTTTCATTTCACGTCTATATAAGCATATATCATATATATTTAAATGCTTTGTTGCTATTATTCTGAACAAACATATCAATTAAAAATAAGTAAATAATTTTTTTTATTTTAAGCTTTATTTATTCATTCTGTAATATACTTTGTTTATGTAGATCTGAGTTTCTGACCTATATCATTTTCTTTCTCTCTGAATAAGATTTTTGAACTATTCCTTTTGAGGCATGTCTGAAGCCAACAAATTATTCAATTTTTGTCTGAGGATATTTTCATTTCTACTTCCTTTTTGAAGGAGAATTTATCAGAATAAAGAATTCAAAGTTGAGTTTTTTTCTCAAAAAAATTTATACATTTACCTTCACTGTATACTTGTTTACATCATTTCAGAGAATTTGGGTGTGATTTTGTTATCTTTTTACCTTTATAAATAAGTTTGCTCCCCCCAACGGCTATTTTTCAAGATTTTTATTTTTGCTTATCAAAATATTGAAGATATACGTAGATTAGGTATTGAAGCATTAATCCTGGTGGCAATCTATAAACTTCCTGGACATGTGACTGGGTGCCTGGCATTAATTTAAGGAAAGTTCTTAGTGATGATTGTTTCATATATCTATATATCTATATATATATATATATTTATCTCTTTTCTCCTTCTGATAATTCCATTATACATATGTTATAATCTGGTAGTTTTTAACAGTTCTTGGATATTCCATTCTACTTTTTTTCTTCCTACATTTTCATTTTTTTAGATTAAAATTTTAATTTAATCTACTTTTAGAAGTTTCTTTTGTCATATCTAAAATTAGAGATTACTTCATTAGCCATGTCAAGTCTAATAAAGTGCCAAATTTAGTTCTATCTAAAGCATATCATATTCTTTCTTAGAATTTCATCTTTTTGCTTTTATTATCCATTTTTCTTACATGCCATAAACTTTGTCCACTAAAGTCCTTAGCATATTAGTAAGATTTTTTTTTTTAATTCCTGGTCTCATAATCTCAATGTCTCTGCCAGATCTTACTCTTTCTGATGTTTTATCTCCTCAAATTGTGTGTCTTTTAGGTTTTTGTTAGATAAACATGATATAATGGATGAAAGGAACTGTGGTAAATAGACCTCAGGAGTGTAGTAGTGAGACTGGAGAGAAGAGAAATATTTTATAATGCTATGATAGATCTCAGTAATTTGATGAGTCTGTGTTCCTGGACTATACATTTTTTTTATAATAATATAATAGTTTGTTTTTACAATATTTTGTGCCTTTTTCCATCTCAGTTGTAATCCTCGTGGGTTTCCCATCACCAGATCATCCGTGTGCCATCACCATAGTCCAGTGCACTCCCCCACACCCCACACACACCACCGTTTTTGATCCCATTCCCTATTCCACTCCCATAAAATGTCTCTGGTATATAGTTGTCATTATTACTATTATTTTCCCACCTGGTCCTTTATGTTCCTGCTATGAGTGAAACCATACAGTATTTTTCCTTTTCTTTCTGGCTTATTTCACTGAGTATGATCTTTTCCAGCTCCTTCCATGTTGCTGCAATCTGGACTATACATTTTACCAATGCTTTTCATTGCACACATTCACCGTAAATGAGACAGGATGGCTAGAAGGGACTGAAAAGGGCATTTCTGTTACCCCAAACTCCTGACCAAAACCAACTGTCAAATAATAAATGTTTGTTGTTTTAAACTACTTAACTTTGTGATAAAGTTGCTACGCATTAATGATAATGGATACAGATTATTTTCAGAGGCTTACTCTCCATTTATTGAAAGACCAGAGGTCATGGGACCAAATATTATTGTGCAAGTATACTCATTCCTCTCCTCTTGTTCAGTCTGCCTATATCCACTCCCCAAAGCAGTCTTTGGTCAAACTCAACATCAACGGACAGAGAAATACTACTCTAGAGTAAGCTAAATAATTGCCAGCTAAGACATCAAATTCTAATCTCTGGAAATTTATAATGAAAGGAGGTCTTAGCACATGTGATTGAATGAAGGCTTGTGATGTGGAAAGATATCCTGGATTATATGGACTTCTCATGCCATCACTAGTATCCTTATAAGAGAAATGCAGAAAATGACTGGACACACACATAGAGAAAAGAAGGTGATGAAGATGAGGACAGACTGGACGGTGTGGCCACAGCCAAGGAACGCCAAAGAGTACAGGCAGCCATCAAAAGATAGAAGACACAAGCACACAATTCTCTAGAATTTCCTGCTGACATCCTTTCTATAGATATTTTTGGCTCCAGAACACTGAGAATATAAACCTATGTTGTTTTGAACAATCAACTTTTGGGTCATCTGTCACAGCAATCCTAGAAAATGAATATATTCCATCATGGTGGTAAGAAGAGAAATTGAAACTAATTTTTCTTCCAACTCTGATTCTGTAAATCATAATCTGATCCATCCCTAAGGCTGGAATGAAAACAGTTTCAGAAAATGTGATTGCCCTCATGTACTTCTATGTGAAATATATTCATAAAATGCACTGCAGTCAAGTCAATATTAATGGTGACTTCTACAGGAATCAAACTGTTAAGTGTATTTTAAGTAATATCTTTGTGTACTGTATCAAGCATTTGAATAAACAAATCAACTGACATAACATTTTTTGTACCAAAAAATGAATTCTGCTAAACACCTGGAATGATGGCGTAACTAAAACAACATTCAAATATTTATATGAATTGCTAGAATGCTCCAAGAAATGGATATTAATTTTGTGACATACTCTCATACAATATTTTTGGTAAGTTAGAAATTATAATAAAAGGAAAGTACATATATGTCCATCTATTTTTTTTTTTGGCAGGACAAAAATAAAATGTTTTTGTTTCATCAAAGAAAATATACATACTTTTTTGTCATTCTTGTGATTAAATGGATATCAATAGGAAAATTATTGAATAGGCAAATATGATTTCTCATCTGCCTTTTCATCAATGAGTATAATGGCAACATGAGGACAGTTATAAAAAATAATTTGCACTTGTGATACCGTTGGTATGATAAGGGTTCTTGGCAACACAAATCTTCAGCTTATTTTTACAAAGATCAGAAGTGATATAAAATTGTCCAAGGGATGTAATATATCCCCCCTTTATATTAAATGACATGAGAAACTGGGACCCTGTTTTCTTATCTTTCTTTTCCCATAGGGCTTGGCAGAAGACCTTGCACATTGGCCCATAGTAAGTGTTGAATGGTTAAATGAATGTTTTCAGACACTAATTCTTGCAGGTAAACAGTATATGCATTTAGGTCAGGATAAACCCTGAGATCATTTATGTTATCACAGGTGAGGAACACTTCCCTCAAAGGCAGATGAACATTAGAAATCTGTGACTACAGCCTATCATTACTCTGTGCTTTATCCCAATTCTTTGATGGCATCATGCAATCTAAAATTCTTAAAGTCCTTCTAGAGCCTCTGATAGCATGGAATGCTTACTTGCTAGACAGAAATAGAATGACCTTGTGCATTAGAGAACCAGAATCTTTGAGGAATTCTTCCTAATAGGTCAACTAAAATTCTTGACTTAGGTAATCCCCACCTGAATGGTTGAAAAGGAATAGAATTCCATAGAAATGAAAAATAAGCATTTACCTGTCTGACCTACCATTCTTGCATTTTGATACACACACTTTCAATCCCACTGTTTCTCAGCAAAAAAGTGCCTCAAACATTCAGACAAATAAATTGTTTAAAAGGCTATCATAGAATGAAAATTTTGAACTTTACTCTGTCAGGAGGCTTTCCCTTATTCTATTATATTCCCTTTGTTGCTATGTGATTGTAGCAGGAAATTGGACTAAATAACCTCTTAAAAATGCATCACAACTTCATGATTTCAAAATGTATGTCTTGTCTATATAACTTCTAAAATAGGTACTTTTATTTTCTTGTATAGGCCAGATTATCTCAAGGATTTCTAGGTTTAAATCATGGAGTCTCAGGGAGAAGAGGGGACTCTAAATATTTAAGGGTTTATGTATATACTTGTGTTAATACTTCAAGCACAGCAAACTTATCTTCATGCTTAGCCAGCTGAGTAAGGTTAAAGTTATTTTTTTTAAATGCACATATAAATACCAAGTATTATAACATTGTTATTTTTGTAATTACTACATATTAGAAAAGTCCCCAGTTTAACCATATTATTTTATATTGTTTATTACAGGACAGCATGCTAGAAATTGATAGCAATTGCCTGAATAATGGTTCTAACTTTTTTAAAAAACATTCATGTGATGATAATAAGGTAATGATAATTATTTGGAGTTTATATGTCATTTGAGCTTGATTTCATAGAAGTGTTTACTTTGTATCTGTTAGATAAATATATTGATTATATTAATAACCTGCTGTTTTAATTCTAGCCAGACAATTCCCAATGATCTATTAATTCTACCATGCCTTCTTTTATACTTTTATTTTACAAATAGCCCTAGGCTTGATAGTCTGCTTTAGCATCTCATTTTCGCCTTGAAAATATTAAAATAACTACTGGATTCAAAGACCATAATCTATTATTTTTGAAATTCATTATGTAGAGAAAATGCTTGGTAGAGTGATTGATTGCTTGCTCACACATAAACATAAGTTATGGACATAATTTAGTTATAGGTACTTTGAAAGTGTTTTTTTCACTATTTTCTTATCTTCAAACCACTACCACTTCTAAGTGGTGGATTGCACTTTACAAAACTTCCAAAAATTTGTGTCAATTTTTTTTCTACAGAAACTAATGATAGTCTTTTTTCCTTTGATTTTATTTTTTAAATTAAAGTAGCAATGCATTACAAACTTACAGTAAAAGAGTTAATCTCATAGCATCTCATAGTATATCCACGTAAGTTTCTTACATTTTTTAAGTTTCTAACATTTTTTATTTTAAATAACTGAAAATAACTGTTAATACAGTCTTTCACTTGCACATTGTCCGTTACTCATTCATAGCTTTAAAAATACAAAAAAAAAAAAAAGTCAACAAATCAAACTACACATACCTTTCGTTACTGATGATTCCAGAAGTCCTCTCCTTTGATTATCTTGTTTAAAATTGAATAAGTTTGTCATATTTCACCCATAAGTGATAAGATCTTACATATGTACCAGAGAAAAGCAATTTTAGAAGTCAGATAATCATTAAACCAAGTTCTAGGAGCTTCGTGTTTTCACCTGGGAACTAAAAGGGTGCAATCTAATTACTTGTCAGTCATGTGATTAACTGGAACAGAAAGCTGGGGGTGGGGGTGGGGCATTGCTTAGCAACGCAGCTCTGACTTTAGGCTTCTTAAGAAAGCTTATAATTTCTTAATATTTTATTTAAACCATAGCTTTTCTGACTTTTTCTGTAATAGGAAGCTATGTTTCTAAATCGTGCTGCTCGGAAGTTGAAGCAATTGCCTAAAATACATGACAGTGAAGATTTCAATCTCCATTTATCAAGAGTTTCACAAGGCACATTAAAACTGTTGAACTGCACCAAGGTATGATGAGGACCAATTACTGTTTTTCTTTGTTTTGTTTCACTTACATTTCTTCATGTTCTCACTCGCTAGCTTCTTCCTTTCCTCCTTGTCTTCCTCCCTCCCTCCTTTCCTTCTTGTCTTCCTTCCTTCCTCCTTCCTTCCCTCCTCCTTCCTCCCCTCCCTCCCCCTACCTTCCCTCCTTCCTTTTCATTGTATTTCTAATTAAACATTGTTTATAAACCTGAAATGATGCAGAGGTAAGCTGAAGACTGTTTGCTTTGTTTTTGCTTTATTTGCATATTTTCTTTCTCTCTCATTGTATTTTGTTATTGAGGTAAAGTTTTTCAACACTGTATACAGTTCAAGTTGCAGGTTCACCCCTCTTCAGTTGTTTATTACATCACCACTGCCACCACCAAAGCACCCATAATCCACTGAGCCCCCTTCCCTCTCTGATCCGGATGCCCAACCCAAGTCCTAGAAATTTCACTATACAATTGAAGCTATGAGAGAGTGAAGATAGTGATGTGGAGAGAACTAAGTTTGAACAAAAATATAAACTATTGCCTTATCTATTGTTCTTTGAGATCATCTCCATCATCGACTTCTAAGTACTTACTGTAACTTACAGTAAGTTGAAATACCTTCACTCAACTGTAAAAGAGGAATTATCTCACCGTAAAGTGTACCCACTCATGCTTTTGCTAAGGCAAATAAATAAAGGATGGGGAATAATAAATTTTTATCTCTTCATAATTTATATATATTCTTAAGAACTCATAGACAATAAAAACAGGCAATCAAATATATTTCACAACAATATATGATAAAACTTGGTGTGTGTGTGTTTGTCCAATTTTTTTGCTTTAATATTCTTTATACATAAATATACTTTTTATACATATATTAAGCACTACTTATTCTCTACTTCTTTGCTAACAGTTGTTAAATGAAAAATAAAGTCTCAACAATACTTGACAAAGAGTTTGTTAGATAATAAAAGTAGGGATTACAGCCTAGGAAGCAGTTCAACGGATTTACTCGAACTGTTACAATAAATCTAAGTTTGAATTTAGTTCATAGGAGTCAGTAAATCATTGACATTAAATGTTTAATTATTTTTGCTACAAGGGGCTTGCAGTTTAAATTGTATTGACCTAAAGATATGCTGATGCTATAGGAAGGCAAGGCACACTTTTTTTTTTTCCTTGCTAATGAATAAACTGTAGAGATACAAAGTATGAGTACCAATTGTTTAATATTTTTTATAAAAAAATACTGAAAATACTGATTTTTATTTTTACACTTTATTTTTTTTCCTTGCTAATGAATACACTGTAGAGATAGAAAGTATGAATACCAATTGTTTAATATTTTTTATAAAAAAATACTGAAAATACTCATTTTTATTTTTGGACAGCAAATTCCTGCATATAGAATGGAACCTATGAAGATAACTTTGCACTCTTCCCTGCTATACAAGGGGGTGGGAGCTCAGGAAATGTTTCAATATGTTTACATAGTTATGAAATGAAAATAACAAAACACAATTTGAAAGACATTAGACAACAGAATAGACTAGACAACAGTTTCTTCATTGGAAAAATAGAGAAAAATCATGGTATTATGAACATTGCAAGATGTTGAAAGGGATAAATGGCATAATTTACATAATTTGTTTAGTTCTAAAATGATTTCTGTAAGTTAATAAATTCTGTTAATACTGTTGCCATCTACCTGCAAGGATTTACTGGGTGGCACACAAAGCACCCAGTTTTAAAAGAAAATTTTAATATTTCTATGATGGAAAGTATTTTTATTTTTTAATGCCAGTAATTGCCCACAGAAGTAAAATGGTGGCCCTCCTTCATGGTGCAGCAGGTTAGGACTCAGCACTGCAAGCAAGTGGCAATTGCTTCAGTACAAATTCAATGCCCCACCTCAGAGGTGATTCATATGGCACAGCAGACCTCTCCTGACCCACCCACTGCTCTCCTCAGCAGTGTACTTCGTCTATCTGCCTGTTCTCTCCACTCTACCTCTGGTGAATCCTCTCACTGCTCCTGCACCTCTGGCCTGTACCCCAGTTCTGTATGCATAAATAAATCTTTTTTTAAAAAAAGATGATACTATCTTCGAGGACTGTTAGCCATGATGAAAATAAAGTTAATAGAAACTACTTCATTAGTGACATTATGTAGTTGATACAAGGCAGTCTCTTGGGGTCCTGGATTATTTCCATATTTATATAACTATTCCTTTATGTGAACTTTCTACTATTTTCTTTTCTATAATTCTGATCTATAATGTTCTATGCATTTTTCATAGTCAAGTTCAAGAGTCATGAAGATTTCATACTCTAGCCTATCACCTAGAGTAAACAAAAGTGATCTCAAAGTAACCCTTATTTACAGTGACTTCAAAGTACTGTCAAATGCAGGAAGGTGGATGGTTTTCATGTTATGTAAACATCCAGTTGCTTAGGATTGTTGGAAATACTATGTTGAGTGTAAGTTCAAGTCAGGGCTCAATTGGAAAGACTGCAGAATCACTTCTTGGCTTATGAAGGGGTAAGAAATATAGGTTTGTTATACACTTTCCATTACTTCTCTCATGTGTTGTGCTTTGTACGGATCATGTTTCAATATAAACCTGGAGAGAAAGAAAAACAAACAAAAAAACACACAAATTATTGGACCTCGAAATTAAATAAATTTTTTTACAAAATTAACTAACCTAATAAGTCATTTTTTTAAGTGATAGATCAAGATATTAAAGACGGCCAGCTACACTGAATTTTCTTTGTAAACCAGGCATGCTACCAGAGTTTTATTGTTGTTTGCTGTTGATGGATAAAGCTTAACAAAATTTATTCTTAGGGTTTGTTTTTTTTTTAAAAGATTTATTTATTTATGCCTACAGAACTGGGGTACAGGCCAGAGGTGCAGGGGCTGTGAGAGGGTTCACCAGAGACAGAGTGGAGACCAGAACAGGCAGATTGATGAAGTACACTGCTGAGGGGAGCAGCGGGTGAGACAGGAGAAGTCTGCTGCACCATGTGGGTCCCTTTGGGGTGGGGATCGAACTCATGCTGAAGTGGTTTTAGTTTCTTAGTGCTGTGTTTTAACCCGCTGCCCTATTCTTAGGATTTTTAACAGCTTAATGCTAACTTAATTTTCAGTGTTTTTTTAAAGTATAGTTTTGTCTTTAATAGAAAAAAGTTTCAGGACCTCCCTAGTGTCACAACGGGTTAAAGCACAGCACTGCGAAGCTGGTGGCCTCTGCTTCAGTGTGAATTCTATCCCTGGCCCTGGAGGTGAACCCACAAGGTGCAGCAGACTTCTGTCTCACCCGCTGCTCCCCTCAGCAGTGTACTTCATCAATCTGCCTGTTCTGCTTCCCACTCTTGTCTCTGATGAAGACTCTCACTGCCCCTGCACTGCACCACTGGCCTGTACCCCAGTTCTGTATGAATAATCTTTTTTTTTTTTTTAGATAGTTTCATCTTCATAGTAATTAACACTTGCTGGACAAACCTGAAAAATTTATAGATCAGGAATATTCAAAAAAACTAACTTTTTTTGTTTCTTTCTTTCCCCTTATATTTGTACTCTGCTATACTGACAATGAAGAAATTAAATTAGATTTCCTAAATGTTAGATGAACAAGTAATAATGTAAAAATTAGTGACTATATTAAAGTGTTAAGCAAAAAAAATGAGTAATATTCAATGTTTCAAATGTGACTTTTTTTTTAAGGTTAAAGGAAAAAAACTACCTTCGCTGGGTGAAGCTCAATCCACTAAGAATTTGGTGAGAGTAACTTTATAGCTTTCTTCTTTATCCATTTTTTGTACACTAATTACTTTTGTTTTTCTCTTTAAAATGCTATGTTTTTATTTTGGGTTTTGAAAATAGGCAATATAATGTTAACAAAAGGAGAATAAAAGGTGTTACTTAGAAATTGGATTCCCTTAAAGTGCATTTTTAGGGCCCTCCCTGGTGGTGCAGCGGGTTAAAGCACAGCACTAAGAAGCTAAAGTCACCTCAGCATGAGTTCGATTCCTGTCTGCCCCGGAGGTGACCACATGGCGCGGCAGACCTCTCCTGACCCGCCCGCTGCTCCCCTCAGCAGTGTACTTCGTCAGTCTGCCAGTTCTGCTCCCCATTCTGTCTCTGGTGACGCCTTTCGCCACCCCTGAGCCTCTGGTCTGTACCCCACCTCTGTATGCACAAATAAATAAATCTTAAAGTGCAATTCTAAACACTAGTATTTCAAAATAAATAAATAAATAAGCTAAGGAAACTAACAGAGCATGTATATTTAAAATAAAAGCAATAAAATTAAAACATCACTAGTAATGGGCAAAAAAATATGAACAAATATCTAGATTTATATAGAAAACAAGTATATGAAGAAAAAAGTCCATCTTGCTAGATAGTAAACAAAAAATGAATCTATTTTGGATCTGTTTACTAGTATAGATACATCCTTGATATATGTATTTTATATATTATATATTCTACACATAATCATATCACAACATAAACATTCTATACATATTGCATACAAAATTACATAGCAATTAGAAAATATAAATGAAAACGTCTTAAGTATTTGACATGACATGTTAACTAGGATAGGACATGTTATAAGAGTGATTGGTTCCATCATGCTTCCATGAGTATGTATGGGAGCGTGGATATCTCTTACTGCTCTTAGAGAAGCAGAATGAATCTCAACATCTGAGGCTCAATAAGCCATTCAGATTCCAACCAAAGTAGAAGTGGTGAAATGAATAAAGAGAAATATAAACACATGGAGAACTCTGCTGAGAAAATGTAGAAAAGAAATTTAGAAAAGGAAGATAACCTTTATGTTCCCAGGATTATGAGGTAAAACCATGACTCTTTGTTTTTGTCTTTTCAGTACATGCTCTTGGTCTCTGAGGAAATATCACAAAATTTTCACTTCTATGTATTTCAAATCAGCGTAGTAAAGTACACTTTGATTTTTGACTTTTAAAAGATACCCTGAGACCTTTATTAGAAAGGACAAGAAAAAAATCTTCAAGTTTATTGTTTACTCTTTTAAATGTATTATTTTAAAAATTGTGTGAATACTAATACCTGGATAAATGGCAGCTTATTTATCCTCTTTCCAGCTCAGATTCCTCATATGAAAAAAAAATAAGATGAAATGGAGTAATATATGCAAAGTACTGTGCACATTCCAGACTAGAAAACACCCAATGATAGTTTATTATCTAAATGAAGAATTGCTCAGCTCAGTGATTATTCCACTTTCCAGATCAGAGGGTACCGATGCTTCCTTATGTGTCTATTCCATGTGAGGTATCTCTCCACTTTCTGAGGTGGACTTTTTAAAGATTCTCATTAGGGCCAGAAAGGTAGCTTATGAGCTGATGTTTTCCATACTACTAGAATTTGCCCAAAATAATCTGAATATTTTCATTGTTTATTTTCCCTTCCACAGAAAATACTTTTTTTCCATATTAAAGTGTTCAGTTGCATAATCTAGGTATAGCTTCCTAACAAAAGTTTAAACAACATTATAGCCACTGCCACAAGAGTGATGATGGTAGCCATCTGACATCACTTTATTAATTAATCCTATATCTTAAACTACAACAACCTTGATTTCTTAAATGTCAGTTATCTACATTATAGTTAAAAATAATAGTTTAAAAATATGGAAAATTCTTTTTCATTGTACAAATTTTCAATATAACTTCTGATGTGGAAATTAAAGATTCATATTTGAATGTGTATATTTATAAAAAATGTTAATTTTTAAATATATTTCTGTAGGAAGAGAACAAATATTTAAAGGAAAAGAATAAACAGAAGTGTTTCCTAAAGACCCTACTACAAAAGATAAAGACTTGTTGGAATAAAATTTTGAGGGGACACTAAAATGCAATGAAAAATATACAGCAGCAAAACTAAAGCATATGAACTCGTATTCTCCAGGAATTTATCAGCTCATGCAATTTTGGGGGAAAGAATGCTTCCTAGAATTTACTGAATGCATCCTGACAAAAATGGATAATAGCAATTGAAAAATCAACAATGTACTTTTTAAAGATGGACATAACGAATGGAAATGGAATGCTGCAATCAACAAATTGTTTCATTGGTATGTGGACATACCTCCATCGATGTTAATTCTGTGCTGATTTTTATAAGAAAATTCACTTATCAGTTGCAATAATATTTAAGCCTGTTTAAAGCTTTTGGGAAAAGACTTCGAATCTGTCAAGCAGATAAAGGTACCAAAGACTAAAAACTAAAATTGCTGAGACTAAAAAGCAAATTACCTTATTATCAAAATAATTTTATGGCCCACTCTGCATCAATGTACTGCGATAAGAATGGAAATTGTCATCTGTGCCGGAAAGAAGGCAGATGTGGGTAATTCCCATATATTTCAAGAAGTAACAGCATAATGGAGTTCCAGATACTTAAGAGATATCAAGGGATATAATTAAACCTGATTGTGTAACACAGTGCCTTCTAAGTGGTATAGCAAATACTTTACAATGAAGATAAGGAATCATTTCACAAAATAGAAAATTACTTCTTCTAAGGATGCTGACCCATAGTACTGAGTTACTTTTGTCATTTATGTATAATAAAACTTGTCTAAATGAGTTTGCAATTTGGGAAGTATATTTTTAAGAGAATAATATATGATGGCTTTTTAATTAATGGAATGTGTATATTTAATATTGACACTATATCTGTATATAAAAATATTTTCATACAGTATTACAAATTGCTTACTTTGGATACTATTTCTCCTTTGATAATAAATGACCTATGTATAAACACTGTCAGATTCACTTAATCCCAACAGAATTTTTCAGACAAAATTTCAGTACTACATCATTATTTGATCTCACTTTCATTGAATGAGTAATTTTTTAATACTTTATTACCAAGAATCTACAGGGGACCAGGACCTGAAGACTATCAAAGAACAGAAACACTACTCTTTATGTTCTATGTTAAATTCTAGTCTTTAAACAAAAAAAAAAATTGGTTTTCTATTAAACCATATTAAAAAGGCCTTTAAATAAGTCTCTCATTATTTATAAAGGGAACTGAAAACATTATTCCAGGCATGTTAGAATCTTAAAACTACCACCAGTTTGCCATCTCTGAACATACATCCTTCATATTCTTTCACCACTTCATTGCCACATAGTGAAGGCTGACTATTTAATCTATAAGAACCTCAGGTGACACTCAATGCATGGTAATAAGACAACTCTCATTTCATGTGTCTCTTTGCCTCTTTCTCACTCCCCAGCCCACCTGGAGTTTATCCTCGCCAATAAAGATGGCTGTAGAGAGTTGTACGGACAGCTGCATTAATGAGGCTTTGCGTCAATGTATGCTTTCTGTTTGGTTTTCATTATTGACTTCAAAATAAGGAGTTGAATACTTTGTAGGTGTAAATGATTGTTCACCAAGCCCTTTCTTTCTTCCTATGGACTGATAGGCTGTGCTTCCTTCCACCCCAAAACATGGTCAATGATGTGGTATACCTCCAGTCTGATAAATCGGTGCTGTTGTAAGTGTTCAAGGTATGTCACTGGTGTGGGTTGGGCCTGCACATTTCTAAAGACCGGATGTTATAGTGGGTAGGACTGTCAGTCCAGCCTAGTATGCGGCAGTAGATAGCTGTGTACACACAGCACTGTTATAACATGGTTACATCATAAGGGTGGCTATCTCCATGGGGATCTACACCTTGAGTAAACTGCAGGAAGCATTTCAAAATAGTGGCTGCTAGAATTGGTATCAGCGAGGTTATGTAACGTTGCCAGTTCTGTCTCTCTCCTTTTCCCTCAGCATATCCCCATTCAAAAACAGAATGGTAAAACACCTCTTAAATATCAAATCATGTTTAATTTTTATTTTATACTCCATTAAGTAAAATATTTACTTGTATTCCCTGTTTCTTCAAGTCATTTGTGATAAATAGTTTAAAAGAGGAGTGGGAAAACTTATATTAAAATATTCCTTGAGAGAATTTCAGGAAAATAAATCTCATAAAATTATACTAACAAATGACAGACACCATTTTAACCAACAAAGATTTTATAGAAATCCACTAGTTTAACCAGATCACGATGGCTATCATCTACACTTGTGAATAAATTGAGAATGAAGTATAGTTTTAAATAAACTATTATTTAAGAAAATTTTTTAAAATATAAATTAATATATATTTACTAAACTGATGATAAAAATTACAAAGGAAATGTAGCATCAAAACCCCTTCCATCAGAAATAAGCATAAGGGCCCTCCTCCCTAGTGGTGCAACACGTTAAAGCTACAGCCGTTTCAGCAGGAATTCAACCCCTGGCCAGGGAGCTAACTCACATGGTGCAGCAGACCTCTCCTATTCCATCTGCTGCAGCCCCTCAGGAGTGTACTTTGTCATTCTGCCTGTTCTGCTCCCCACGCTGTCTCTAGTGAATCCTCTCACCTCCCACACCTCTGGCCTGTACCCCAGCTCTGTATGCATAAATAAATAAATCTTTGAAAAAGAAATAAGAATAATATATTAAGTAGTATATTTCAAGCCTTTTTATCCATGGACATTTTTACATATTTTATAGGCATGTACTATTTCAGGCTAGCTTTTTGACTTAGTAATAAAAAATAACCTTGTAAAGCCATTAAAAGATATTTTAAAGTCCTTTAATTATTAACTTACTAAATTATTGAATTTTTATCACTATAAATGGTATCATTATATGCATTCTTCATAATTTGTACTTGATACTATATCCTCAAGAAGAAGTGCATCTTAAAAATAAAATAATGAGATTATGATGCATGGATATTTTAAAGACAACATAGATCATCAAATTTTTCAAAGTGGATTGCCAATTTATATTTCTTTTCTGTGAGTTAGAGCATTCATCCTGATACCTCACACAGTTTTATTATAACTGAAGACAACTTATTTGATAAATGAAAATTAGCATTTCACTACTCAGCATTGTTTCCAACCTCCTACCCAAGCCTTTTTATTACAAATTCAAAATAGTTATAGAACCTAAGAGCTTGGGCAAACAGAGAAAAAAGGAAGGTGGAAGTGAAGAGATTTATTTTTTCTACGCAAGATAAGATTGAACAATTAACATTTTTCAACACCTGATTTCCTCAGGTCTTAGAACAGTCAAAGTAGTCTACATTTTACTGTACATACACATCCTTGTCAAGGTCACTTGTCTTTTCCACACTAACGGTAATGCAGCTTTTGCTCTCATTATGTCAGCTTCCCTAAACCTTGAGAAAGGTTAGAAAAAATGAAAATAAGAAATAGTCTGATGTGTAAATTGTGGTGATAAGTTCTGTGTTTAGTCCTTTTGCAGCATTGTGATGGCATCTGTATAATAAAGTTCCATTGAAATAAATCTTGCTTGGAGTCTGAAAGATGATGTTAGAGTGAAGATGCCTGGCTCACCATCTCCAGATATTTATAGCTAAACTGTAACTGAACAAAGTAACAATCCCTGTAATATAAATAGATCAGTATAGGATACACCAGGATCAATGATCTGGTGGAATGGGGTAGGAGAAACGTGAATAGAACCAGGTAGTGATAAGAAAATATAACTCACAAAAAGGAAGGTATGCTAAAGAGCATACCCTGATGTTGTTGACTTGGGAATTTGGAGATAGGGCACTGTACTGGGTAAGGGCATACAGGAGTTGACTCCTAGCACAGAGGTGTGCATTATTGGAGAACTATAGGAGCCAGGATGTAGAGAGAGGGTCACCAACTTGAGTCTGAGTTTGCAATTATATACAGTTGATCCTGAAATGGCCTTTTCTATGAGAGTTCTCTGGCAGCGTGTGCAAGTCTATCCTTATTACAATTCATAAAAACTAAGAATGAAGAGAAAGAAGAACATTATCACAAATGCTTGGGCAAAACAACAACAAAACCAACAAAAAACCCAAATAAATCTCAATCCAGCATTACTGCAGAATGTGCCTGAAGAGGACTTTAAGGTAACATTTATAAAAATTCTTGCTGAATTAGGGCCCTCCCTGGTGGTGCAGCTGTTTAAAGCACAGCACTAAGAAGCTTGAGAAGCTTAAGCCACTTCCGCATGAGTTCGATCCCCACCTGGCGCGGCAAACCTCTCCTGACCCGCCCGCTGCTCCCCTCAGCTGTACCTCCTCAATCTGCCTGTTCTGCTCCCCACTCTGTCTCTGGTGAAGCCTCTCACCCTCCGCATCTCTGGCCTGTACCCCAGTTCTGTATGAATAAATAAATAAATCTTAAAAAAAAATTCTTGCTGAATTAAAAAAGAAAACAAAACAATGGATGGTGTAAAATAGGAGTAGCTAAAATTAGAACTAATGACTATTAAAACACTGTAATGTTAAGAATGCAAGAAGGCATCAACAGCAAACAAGTGGAAGCAATGGAGAGAACTAGTGGCAGCATGTCAGAAAAGATAACAAATTGGGAAATTTTACATAGATAAGAGAATAAATAAAAAATAAAAATGAAGATAAGAGCCCTCTGAGATGACCTAAAGAAAAATATAATCCTTATTATAGGGATCTCAATAGGTGAGACAAAGAAATGTATTTAAAAAAATAGTCACCTAGATGATGGCACATGGTTGATGGGAAACCCTAGGGGATTGCAACTGAGATGGAAAAATGCACAAAAATATGTAAAATAAACTATTATAAAATTTTTAAAAAGTCACCTAGAAGCAGGTCACCCTAACCTAAGAGGTTAACCAGATGCATTGAACCAGAGGTCTAAAAGAGTTCCAAACAATACAATACCTGAGAGACACACTCCAAGGCATGTTGTAGTAAAAGTATTGTAAGCCAAAGCAAAGGATAAAATATTAAAAACATCATAAGGATAAAAAGGATAACCTATAAGGGAGCATCAATCAGCCTATCCAAGGGCTTTTCTGTAAACACTTTACAGGCAAGTTGGGAATGGTGGGTAATAAAATTAATCAAAGAAAATGGTTTTCAGCTTAAAATACTTTATCCTTTAAAATTATCATTTACAGAGTAAGGTGTTTCACTGAAAATTGAAATTTATCAAAAAAAACAAGCCAGTCATGAAAGATGTACTAAAAGAGCTATTACAAAGCAGGGAAAAAAAAAACAAATGAACAAACAAAAAAAAAAAAACCCCCCCCAAATATAGAGGAAATAGACACCT